ACCAGGCTCATACGGCGTACTAGCGTAAAACAGAAAAATGATATATTCGTATGGTCGGTGGAGAGAACTGGGAATACTTTTTACTAGTAACGAGGTATTTCATCTCATTCCTCAGGGGTGACAACGAATCTGCTTATTAATTCGCTATCGATGATAGATGTTCTTCGGTTAAATGTGACACTGATTTGTGCTTAGCAGACAAGCTTAGCTATCAGCTGAGTGGTAAAACTTTGTATGAATTGAATAAAACTAAATTTACGGATTCTATCGCGTTTATTTAACTGATTTTACTGATTTTTAATTCCCGACGTTTGGGGTGCTTTACAGTACCCATGGTCCCGGGGGGACTGAGATGTTTGACGTTCCAAAAAAGAAAAAACGAACTTACTGTATCTTGAAGACTTGCAGTGGTATGCTTGGGTTTGGTTTTTAATTTTGTTAATTTTAGGATCCCAATCAGATGGCAGCACCCAACCATCTTCTCTATTGAAATTAGGATCTTTTTTTAATTTCAATAGCCTCACGTATCATCCTTGGTAGGAATCGGTGTTCTTTTGCGAGGATTTGTGGTTTATCAAATCTGATGTAATGGTGGGGACGATCTTGAACATGTTCACAGACTGCAGACTTCCCGGAGCGTCGGTGCTTCACGTCAGCTATATGTTCTTTCACGCGGGTTTTTATGGATATTTTTGTTTGACCTATGTAAGAGAGACCACATTCACAATCTAACTTGTACACTCCTGCATCTTGTAGAGGGATATTACACTTGACGGATGGTAAAAATTGACTAATCTTCTTCGGCGGCTTGTAGTATGTTTTAATGGAAGCTCGCTTCAGGATGTAGCCAACCTTGTGACTCCTCTCACATATGGTAGTACAGCAGGCACACGCTCGACTGTGACCGGCTTCACTCAGTTACAGTTACTGTGACGTAGGCACGGGATCCGAAGCTTGTTGTCTTGTAACATATGCTTGACATGCTGAAGCTCGGCGGCCAGATGTTTTCTGTCACAGATCCCTTGTGCTCTCTGAAACAAAGATTTACCCACGGTAGCTAACTGTGAAGGATGATAGTGAGATTCACCATTTAAATCTTGAAAAAATCTTTAAAAAGAAGTGCTTGTTGCACTATTCAATTCGTTTCATAGTTTAATAATAATATCATACTTACGTGGTAGAGTCACGCTACAGCTTTGCTAGCTATAAATAGCCGCAGTACTAATAAGTCGGCTTGGCCGGGGTAGGACCAGACTCTTACGGCGTACTAGCGTGAAACAGCAAAATGATATATTCGTATGGTGGGTGGAGAGAACTGGAAACACTTTTTACTAGTAACGAGGTATTTCATCTCATTCCTCAGGGGTGACAACGAATTTGCTTATTAATTCGCAATGGATCATCGATGCTAGATGTTCTTCGGTTAAATGTTACACTGCTTTGTGCTTAGCAGACAATCTTAGCTATCAACTGAAGTGGTAAAACTTTGTATGAATTGACATCTTCAAAGATATTTTAAGTAAATTTTATTACATTTTTTGGACGAAATGGTTGATGTCAACAGATATTATATGCTTCGGTAGATTTATACCAGTTATTGACGCCATTTTGTGAATTGATATTAATGTTAGTATCACAGGTGTAGAAAAATAAACTATATATGAGCATTATTAAGAATATCTATTAAGATTATTAAGAATATATATTATAATATAGGCGGACGAAGTGCAGAGTTGGCACGTGGAATGTTAGAGGGGGGCATGAGAGATAAGACGAATGAGTTGATCGAAATAATGAAAGAAAGAGAATTAGATGTCGTGTGTATGTCGGAGACCAAACGGAAAGGCAGTGGTACTGAAGAGCTCCCTGGCGGGACGTTAGCTATATGGTCCGGAGTCCCGGAAAGCGAGAACGCCTGCCAGGGAGTGGGAGTGCTGTTGTCGTCCCGGTTGGTCGATCTTATGACTGAATACAAGGTTGTGAACTCAAGACTTCTCTGGGTTCGCTTCAAAATGGGACTGACGAAGTTATTCCTTTTGGCTGTTTATGCGCCGGTAGCTTCGTTTTCCAGGACTGAGCTGGAGGAGATTTGGGAAAATGTAAGAGAAGTTCTAGACTTGGTTAAGGGAAACGAAAGAACTGTTGTATGTGGTGATTTGAATGGATGGGTAGGTATCGCTCGACCAGGATACGAGTCGGTGCTTGGAAAGTTTGGCGATAAAAGGGTTAATGATTCTGGCAAGCTTATACTGGCTGTATGCAAGGAAAAGGGTCTTCTTGTGACAAACACTATGTCTAATCACAGGAAAATCCATATGTACACTAGAGAAAGAAAGAATGAGAGAAGTATGATTGATTTGTTCCTGGTGGATGACCGACTGCGAAAACAGGTGATGGATACACGAGTGTTCAGGGGTGCTGACCTGGGAACGGATCATTATCTAGTAATTACTAGATTTAGGGGTTTGTTCGCGGGTTGGCGCTGCCGGACGGCAGTAACAGAACCACAGTCGGTCTGTCGCATCCGAAGCTGGAAGCTTCAGGAAGCGGATACTAGGGACAAATATCACACGAGGGTAGCCGAAAAGCTTGACACCATCGATGGCAGGAATGAATGTGTGGAGAGAACATGGCAGAACCTTAGGGATGGAATGGTAAGTGCAGCGGAAGAAGTATGTGGTACGACAAAAAGAGGTAGTAGTAAAAGAAGAGATGCATGGTGGAATGATGAAGTGAGAGAAGCTGTAAAAAAAGAAGAAAAAAAGCATGGTTAGACTACTTGGCCTCTAGTAACGATGAGCATATGAGAGAGAAGATGAAAGAAAGATATAAGCTGCAGAAAGTTCATGCGAAAACATTGATTGAGTAGAATAGAAGCGGACGAGAGGTTGTCGCACAACTTTAGGGAAAACTCCAAACTCTTCTGGAAAGAGGTTGGAAGGTCCCGGAGTGGTGCGACAGCCTTAAGAATGAACAAAGTGCTTTCGAGAACCAATGACGTCCTCTCAGAAAAATCGGACGTCATGCAGCGATGGAGTGAATTTTATAGAGAAATGTATGCGTGTCATCATCTTAGTGAAGGATCCGGGGGTGACACCGTGACTGGCACGCCAGACACGGACCTCGATGACACTGAGGTCATCAGCATGAAAGAGATTGAACGTGCGATTCGAAGTTTGAAATGTGGTAAGGCTGCGGGACTAGACAGAGTTACTGCTAAAATGGTCAAGTACGGTGGGCCTCGCGTCTGGGACAGCTTTCATCTGCTGTGCAATTTGTGCTGGCGGACGGGAGATGTCCCGGATGATTGGCGATCCGCGGTCATTGTGCCTTTATATAAAGGTAAAGGTTCACATTTTGACTGCGGGTGCTATCGGGCGATCAGCTTGACCAGTTTAGCAAGTAAAGTTTACTCGAAGGTTTTGACACGTAGGATGCAAGAGAAATCGGAAAGATTCTTATGGGAGGCACAATGCGGATTTAGACCTGGAAGAGGATGCACGGATCAAATGTTTTCTCTCCGCATGATCACGAAGAAGCTTCTGAGTGTTAACCAGAAGATTTTCTGTGCTTTTGTGGATCTGGAGAAAGCATTTGATAAGGTTATAAGGAAGAAAATCTGGGAACTGTTGCCGGGATATGGTGTGGATGGTCGATTGTTAAGAGCTGTGCAGTCACTTTACTATGAGTGTAAAGCCTGTGTGCGGGTAGGGCATGACCTGTCACCCATGTTTAGCGTCCAAGCGGGCGTAAAACAGGGTTGTGTTATGTCTTCCTGGCTGTTCATACTGTATCTCGACAGCTGTTTACAGAAGCTGAAAAATAGCTGTTTGGGTGTGAAATTGGGTGACATAAAAGTTAATTGTCTGCTGTATGCTGATGATGCAGTGCTTATTGCACCATCAGAAGCAGAACTGCAGGCATTAGTCACGTGTATGAAAGAGGAATGTGAAATTAAAGGTCTCCGTTTGAATGCTAATAAAACTAAGGTTCTGGTATTTGAAAAGGACGAAGAGAGAACGAAATGTGAAATATGGGTAAATCAGGAATGTCTAGAACAGGTAAATGAAATTGTATACTTGGGGAGTGCTTTCAGCCGGGATGGAAGATGTGATTTAGATGTGGACAGGCGTGTCGCTGCCGGAAACAAAGTCAATGGTGCCCTGAATGCATTAGTAAAAAGGCAAGGCGTGGTGAAGAGTGCACGCCTTGCAATACATAATGCAGTGTTGGTACCGACTTTGTTGTATGGCAGCGAAACCTGGGTATGCCAGAAGAAGCATAAAAGCAAGTTGAATGCAGTGGAGATGCGATCTCTTCGTAAAATGTGTGGCGTTACCTTAGCCGACCGAAAGCGAAACGAAGAGATTCGCAATATGGCAGAATTGAAAGATGACCTTAAAATGACGATGACCTTGAAAATTGATAGGGGCGTACTCCAATGGTTTGGGCACGTTGAACGAATGAGTGAAGACCGAATGGTGAAGAAAATATATAGAGCGAAAGTAAGTATTAAAAGGTGTCGAGGTAGACCGAGACTAACTTTCGAAGACCATGTGAGCAAATTGCTCGAAGAGGGGAGGGTCAAGAGTACTCGGATACCTAGACGTGCATGTATGAAGAAGTTAATGAACCTGAAAGAAGCGAAAGAGGTATGTAAGGATCGTGACACTTGGCGATCTGTTCTCTCTGGCTACCCCGTTAGGGATTGTGCGTGAAGATAAGTAAGTAAGTAAGTAAGTATTAAGAATATCCACTACCCCATATCATCCCGTAGGTGTCGTAAGAGGCGGCCGAGGAAAACTGGAACAGGCGATGGAATTGACTAAAACTGACATTTTTCTCATAACAATTGCAGGTAATAAATAAACTGCGGTTGCCAAGTCTGGCAACTGTGGTAAATTCCCCCCTATGAGGCAATCTATGGAGAACACATAAGTTCAGCTGTGGACTTTTTGGGCTATGAGAGTGATAGGATGGGGATAGTGAAGATGTAGCACTTACTTCATATTCTTTCTACATCTTCCGTTTTTGCTTTCTTTTCCTTTAATTAATGGCAACACAATATGATAAGCAGGGCTTAATCCTAAATCCAAGGTGATATGTGCATCGGAATAAGTAACCGAAGTAAAAATGGTAAAATCTTCCCTTTTGTCTCAATATCGCCTTATTGGCAGACCGACGAGCCTCTGTGGGCCTTTATAGGCTTATGGATGAAAAGAGTAATAAAATAGTTTAGTTAATTGAGAAAATTTGTTATAAAATGGACCTTCGTTTTGACCATTTTATTAATCCCAACGTGTAGGAGAAACATTGTTCAGGTCAATCAGCATAGGTTATCATTTTCTCCACATATTATATGAAGAGGCTTATTGGGAATTGACGGTTGCAAGTGTAGCAGCAATGTACAACTCGGTTAAGTTTGTACCTCACCGCAATGCAAGACACCTCCGATTCCCGCTCTCAACCCCGCGTTCGTAAAATAGGCGTGGCAGTACGGTTTGCATCTTTGCTACCCGATACGTAAGTACGTCTTAATTTTTGTCTCCTATTTGTTTAGATAATGGATTATTTTTGTTGTTACGTCATACGCACCAAGTGCAAACATAGCTTGACATACTTAGTTGTAATTTGGAAAAGATTCATCAATAAAAACGGTTCCATTTCTCGTTGGTCAAGTGTTCGTTACCGAGATTGCTGATCTTGTGGTCCCGGGTTTGAGCCCGCGTCAAACCAAATTCACTTGTTGGACTTTTCTGTCAAGTAATCAATAAGTCAATAGCAGCCCAGAGTCAAGAATTTGGCAGTGTTGCAGTATGTTCCGTGCCTCGGAAAGCACGTTAAGCTCTTAGCCCTGCGCCTGTTCTTGTTCTGGTCGTGTCGAATTACCGTCTCATCGGACTATAGGAGTGAGGGAATAGAGAGTTCTCCTGTTTTTACGCATACAAGCGAGCACTGTAACCGTGACCAAAATTCGGTCTGGAGGACATTATCAATAAAAGCAACAGAAGATCTAATATCCACTTCATTTGATGTTCTGTTCAATCGATACTTAGGCCCATAGACAGCTACATCTATCCATGATTAACAATAAATAAAAGAGTTAAAATAGAGAGCCACTTATCAGTAAAGAGTGGTGCGATTCCCAGAGTAAAGTCCCGCACCATACAAAAAAATTACAGCATTATGCTTTTAAGTAAAACTAGTTTTTGCAGATTTTGTCGCGTTTATTAACTTATTTTATATTCTTAAGGAGAGGAGTGTTGGTATTGCGAGGCGCAACTTTCGCTACCGTCCGCGGCTGAAACTTGGTTTGCGATGGAGTCATAGACCAGGTCCGCTTCTGGGGTCAGGAAGCTTGGTGGTTTCGAGTGCTCGACTTTCCTGTCCCCTTGGTTTCTGCCAGTTATCCAGGTTCAGGTCCAGGTTACCGAGCTCGAGAGGTCCACTGCGCAGGCGGGGTAAAGGAACGCGCAGGAAGGTGTTATTTATATGCGACGTTTGTTGTGATGAATAGAATTTGATATTAGGTAAGGTGAATCAAGCGAAATATTATAAATTACTGTGTTGGCTGCGTAAAAAAATCCACTACCCAATATCAGTCCGTAGGCGTCGTAAGAGGCGACAAAGGAATACTGAATATGGTGCTGGGCAGCAGCACCACTCCGATATAATTTTATAAATATTTATATTAATTATTAAACTGCAGTTTCTGACAAACGCAGCCATATGCTTGAGGAGTTGATATGTAATGGGCTATAATGAATGATGAAAGAATGAAGGTTAGCAGACTTTTAAACATGGTAGAGCCATGGTGCAGTTATATTAGTAGTATAATTATACCATGAATGGGTCAGCTCGACCGGGGAAGGACCACGTTCTCACAGATTACCTGCTTAAAATAGTTTTCTTTTATAGCATTGGGTGACAAACGAGCACACAGTCCCCTTGTAAGTAAGTGAATGCTGTGGCCCATAGACATCCACATTTGTCCTCAACTTTGATTTGATTTAATTCTTCAAAATGCAAATGTGTTGTCACCCTGAGGACTAAGATGGAATGCCTCGATAGTAGTTAGGTTGTACCAGTTCTGGCGCACGACGTTCGTCGACTCACAATCCTAAAAAAAAAAAAAAAAAGGTTTTGACATGCTCTGATCACGAATCTGCGGTCCATTTTTGCGTAGGATGCACGGTTCCGGAGATGTGCAGATCAATTAACTCTTATCTAATTGATATCCGCTACGAGCCTCAACCGTCATTAGCGCTCCATTGTCCTTATCTACTTATCTATTGTTGATTGACTACCGTCATTATCTATTATTCGTCAGCGTGTGGGTCGGCTTATGCTATTGTATTATACTCCTTTGTTCCTATCTAAAACACTAATATGAATCATCAATAAAACACATTACCTAATTTTGTTAAAATTTTTATTTATAAAATACAAAATCTTATTACTTATTATCTATAAAATAGGAGCGAAACATCTCATCCACTAACATATCGTTGTACAATGTGTTCTCTGTAAATATACTCGTAAAACTACGCATTGAACGTCCCTGAAACTTATATAGCAAATACATTAAGCAATATTCGCCACAAACTGAAGTCCTATCAACATTCCAGTTCCATCTTTTAAACACATTACCTAATTTTGTTAAAATTTTTATTTATAAAATACAAAATCTTATTACTTATTATCTATAAAATAGGAGCGAAACATCTCATCCACTAACATATCGTTGTACAATGTGTTCTCTGTAAATATACTCGTAAAACTACGCATTGAACATCCCTGAAACTTATATAGCAAATACATTAAGCAATATTCGCCACAAACTGAAGTCCTATCAACATTCCAGTTCCATCTTTTAAACACATTACCTAATTTTGTTAAAATTTTTATTTATAAAATACAAAATCTTATTACTTATTATCTATAAAATAGGAGCGAAACATCTCATCCACTAAAATATCGTTGTACAATGTGTTCTCTGTAAATATACTCGTAAAACTATGCATTGAACATCCCTGAAACTTATATAGCAAATACATTAAGCAATATTCGCCACAAACTGAAGTCCTATCAACATTCCAGTTCCATCTTTTAAACACATTACCTAATTTTGTTAAAATTTTTATTTATAAAATAAAAAATCTTATTACTTATTATCTATAAAATAGGAGCGAAACATCTCATCCACTAAAATATCGTTGTACAATGTGTTCTCTGTAAATATACTCGTAAAACTATGCATTGAACATCCCTGAAACTTATATAGCAAATACATTAAGCAATATTCGCCACAAACTGAAGTCCTATCAACATTCCAGTTCCATCTTTTACAATTTCGTACAGGTGCCCGTCCATATGAATCAAAATATTCACCGACGTCATTCGTATCGATATATAAAGCTACCCAATGTGACCCTGGTTTATCATCTGTACCCAAATTGCATATTACCTAGTCAGGTCATAAATTCTATCACATGTTTAATGTAAAATAATTGAAACAAGTTTATTCATTATGTAACCATTTATATACCAAAATGAACTTAACAAAACATAGATTCTTATGACACTATAGTTTATTCAAAATGACCTCCGTAATTTTGAATACAGGCCTTCAATCTGCGCGGCCAGTCGTCTATCTCACCACGAACGAGGTCCATGTCATATCGGCGGCTGCCTTAATTAGATGTCTTGAGTGACTCGAAATTGGGATGAGGCTTTGAGCACGCCTTTTCCTCCAAGTGTTACCATATCTTGTAATCTAACGGATTCAAATCTGGACTGGTCTTTGTGTCGGATGAAGTCGATTTCACGCGCCGCCAGCCAGTCTTTTTTTTTTTGTTTTTAAAGAACGTTACCTCCACACTAGGTTTTTCTCCTGTATCGTGGGGGCAGTTTACAAACACAAATTTCACAAGGACAAACATCCAAACTCGGAACAATTACTTGTAGGTCGTACAAATACTTGTTCCGTGCGGGATTCGAACCCGCGACCCCCAAGCGCAGCCACTCATTGCTAAGCCACTACGCCACGGAGCTGTCAAAAGTCTTGTGTGCTCTTCGCTCTATGAGCTGACGCCGAATCTTGTTGGAATACCCAGTGCCTGTTATTGAACATGGTATGAGAAACAGGTTACACAAGGTTCGTCAGGACTGTATTTTGATACACAACTGCATTCGTTTTTAACCTTTCTCACAAAAATGTACCTCTGTTAAGCCCCAATAAGAAACTCCCAACCATACCATGAGCGAGGATGGAAAATGACCTCGTTGGACACGCGGAATACGGTTGCTCGCTTCTTCACTACTGTGTGCGTACACCTTATCATTTTGTTTGTTGTAGCTCTCTTCTACGGTAAAAATTTTTTTATCCGAAAAAAGAATTTCCCGATATTTTTTTCCCGCGTACCGCTTCACCAAAGCGCGGCATCTCTTCAGTCTCAGATCCATTAGACGAGCATTCAAACGATGTCCTGTTTTTCTTCGATATGCCCGAAGCCCTAAGTCTTCATTTAACGCCGTGGTTCTGCTTAACCCCATCTGAAGGGCCAACAGTTTCTGCTTACGTTTGGGATTTCTTTGAATTCGCACCTTTACAGCTTTTATCACTGCTGGAGTCCTAACAAATCGAGGGCGACCACTTCTTGACCTGTCATCTACACTAGAGTCTTCATTGTATCGTTTGATGGTACGATAAACGAATCTTTTGGTTATATTCAAATTTTTCAGTATATCAAAAAATTTAATTGGCGCGTAATCGCAACTGCAACACGGTCTTTTTTTAAGCGTCCACTCCATATGTAAAAATGAGTAAAATTCTAAAAAGTATACAGTTTTATTTTCATGAACAATTCGAATTCAATAAACTTTTTTGTGGCCAGCATTCTAAAAGAAAAGTTTTTACTGTGTGACAATACTTATGACCTGACTAGGTATATACGTTGGTACGTGGGTGTACATGGGTAGTCTGTTAGCAGCATAAACATTATTTTCTAGACTGGGGTGAATCTTTTTCAGATGTTGTTGTACATCTAGTGTATCCATGATATTACTGCTATTAGTAGATTACTACAGTACAATCTACTCAATGACTAACATAGGAATGATCAATTATGTGACTTCTAAATATTAAATTGCATTTTTTCTGTTATACAAAACGTATTTGAGTGACATCACTACACTGAATAAGACGCAACGCGAAGAATGTGAGATAAGGTTGTTGACGCATAAAGTTATTATCAATTCTACTGTAGAAATTCTTTAGATTAGAATTATTACTTACTGGTACTATATAAGACCAAGCAACTGCAGTCATGGAGTTAGTGTATGGTCGTTTGACCGCAGTGTATCTATCAATAATACATTTGCGTTACTTCAACGCATCAAAGGCCATAGATGTAAGTGTTTAATCTATTGACAAACTTACTTTTCTTTCTGTTATTTTTTTACGTGTGTATGATTTTGAACGACAGGCCTGTTGGTCTAGTGGTTAGTGACCCTGACTGCTATGCCGGAGGTCGTGGGTTCGATTCCCACCCAGGACAAATGTTTGTGTGATGAGCACGATCATTTGTTCTGTGTCTGGGTGTAATTTATCTATAATATTTATGTAAGTTTAGAAATATATAAGTATGTTTATCAGTTGTCTAGTACCCATAACACAAGCTCTGCTTAGCTTGGGACTAGATGGCGTTGTGTGATAGTTGTGGAATATTATTATTATTATTTTGGGGTATCTATATAGTTTTCTCATCTGGTTGGGTGCTATAAATATATAATTATAAATGAAAATGAAAAGACAAATATACATAAATATCAATAACATAAAATAAATATAAAAGTACATAAATAAATAAAAGCCCAACCAGATGGAGGCCCTCGGCAGGGGAGACCAAACGGCCGAGGGTTAGGGGGGAAAGGGAAAGAAACCGGCGGACGATGCGGGCGGTATCGAGGAGCACCGCCTTCTGCATTTGAACCTGGGGCGGTCCGCCACGTAGTCCCAGCCGCGTCAGATGACCCGAGAGGCTGACTGGGATTAGCCCGTTTGCAGAGACGACTACAGGAATAATTTCGGTCGGCAGACCACCCCACATGTCGGTCACCTCGTGAGCCAGGTCCAGATATTTTGTTTGCTTGTCTGTTTCGGCTTTCACGAGGTTCTCGTCATACGGAATGGTAATGTCGACCAAAAATATCCTTGACTGTGCCCGGTCCATCAGCACAATATCAGGCTTATTCGCAAGAATAGTCCTGTCTGTGATGATGGCCCGGTCCCAATAGAGCCTGGCGCGATCATTTTCGAGCACGGCTTCCGGCAAGTACTTGTAGTACGGCAATTTCCGGTCCACGAGACCGTATTTCAGAGCGAGCTCCTGGTGTAGAATTCTGGCTACTAGGTTGTGCCTGTGCAAGTACTCAGAGTTAGAAAGCGCCGAACAACCGGAGATAACATGCCTAAGTGACTCACCGGGATGGCGACAAGCTCGACAGATGTCGACGGTGCCATCCTTTAGGATGTATCTCCGATAGTTGTTGGTCTTAATAACCTGATCCTGTATTGCACAGACAAAACCCTCGGTTTCCCCCGAAGAGATCACCAAAGCGTAGCCAGTGGAGGGAGGCTACTGTGTCTACGAAAGGCTCATGTAGAGCCTTGTAGAACCTCCCGTGGAGCTCCTTCTCCTTCCATACGGTCTCTCGGTCGGAAATGCTCTGCACTGCCGGGTCTTGCCATTGCTCGTTGGCTAAGGATAGAGGGGTAAGTCCTTTATCACAAGAAATGACGTCCTTATAGAATGGATCATCCGATCTCGCCAGGAAGTAATCACGGAGGCTGCACACTTCGCGATTATGCATGGTGAGCGCGCTCAAGAAGCCACGACCACCATGCTTCCGCGGCAAGTACAGCCTCATTACCGACGATCTCGGATGATGCATCCTATGGGACGTCATTGTAGTGCGGACTTTTCTATCCAGGGCGTTAAGTTCAGTCTGAGTCCACCTGAGTATGCCAAAGGTATACATGAGGACAGGCATGACCCAGCCGTTATATGCGTGTGCCTTATTCACACCGGACAAAAGGCTGTTAAGCACTTTGGTCAAGCGTGCATAAAACACGTCGCAAACTGACTGTTTCATACCAGTCTCATCGATACCGATGTTTTGTGACATACCCAGGTATCGGTATGTTTCAGCCTCGGAAAGGGTCCTTAAGTTGACGGGCATAGATAAGTCTACGCCCTCAGAGTTAGCAACCCTTCCCCTTTCAACATGGAGGACCGCACACTTATCCGTCCCCAGCTCCATTCCAATGGAATTGCTAAATTCACAAGTGATGTTTAGCAATTCCATAAGATGGGAGCGACTGGAGGCGAATAACTTGAGGTCATCCATATAGAAAAGGTGGGTCACTTTTGTCCCTCCTCTCCGTAGCTGAAATCCCCTCCCGGAGCCCTCCAGTAAGGTACTGAGAGGGTTCAGAGAGAGGCAGAACCAGATTGGACTCAGACAATCGCCCTGGAAGATACCCCTTCTTATCCTTATGTGGTTCTCCGCAGCCATCATCCGCTCGCCCAGATGACAAAGGATCGTACTCCACTGCCCCATACACTGCTCGAGGAAGTCTCTAACTGTACAGTCTATCTTGTACAGCTCGAGGACTCTCTTTAGCCATGTATGGGGCACCGAGTCGAATGCCTTTCTGTAGTCTATCCAGGCGGCGGAGAAGTTCCGACGGTTGCGTTTCACCACTTTGCCAATGACCGCGTCAATGAGGAGTGGTTCCTTGGTTCCACGACCACCGCCCCGACATCCATTTTGAGCGCGCGACATCACCTGATTTGAGTCCAGGTGACAAGTGATTCTCGCGCTCAAAATGGATGTTAGTGTCTTGTATATGGTCGGTAGACACGTGATGGGGCGGTATTTGCTCGGGTCTGTGGTACCCTGGTCTTTAGGAACCAAATGAGTGATCCCAGTAGTGAAGAGGCTTGGGAGCGACTTCTGGTTGAGAGCCTCTTGAAACTGTCGGGCGAGCACAGAGTGACACGCCATGAACCCCTTCAGCCAGTAGTGATGCAGCCCGTCAAGCCCCGGACTTTTCCAGTTCGGGGCCCTACGAACCGCCTCAGCTACGTCATCCGGCGTTATGATGACGGGGTCCATGGGCGTAATACCCGCACACTGACTCGCCACAACTTCCGTCCAAGGGCCCTCGCTGTGGTTTACGGGCTCTGACCACAGGCCGCGCCAGAATGCTACAGTGTCGGCCTGATTCGGTGCTGGACCCGTTCCACTTACCATTGGTCGCTCCAATGATTCATAGAGCCTCTTCTGATCACTCTGGAAGAGACGATTCTGGTTGAACCGTGTCGACCTCTCGGTATATCGCCGAATCCGCTTTCCCCAAGCAGCGATTCTCTGCTTCAGATCATCTATGCGCTCCGTCAGTTTTTGCGTTATATCCGGCTGGGACAAACTGACATTTGTCCCAGCAAACGCCATCCTGACGGTGCGCACAATTCTTGGCCTGTTGTTGCCTGATCTGAAGCATATCAGTCTGCCGATGAGAGCTCTAGCCTTTGCGATACGTTCCTCAATTCTTCTTCTCCATGCTGGGATAGCGCTACTATGGCCAGTAGCGCGTCCAGCCGTGGAAACTTTGGCGCCTATGATACGGCAGACTGCCAGCGCGGCGCCAAAAAGAATTGAGTCCGTCTCGCAAAGGTCCCGGCTGGCTTCCAAATAGGTCACCAGCATTGGGTTCAGAGCCCTCACGACAGCCCGATTCCGCTTGCTTAGGGCTATGCGGGGAAGTCGCGGTCGATTTTCGAGAGGCGTACTGCGCGTTTCCACAATCGCCTCTTCCAATATACTCCTCATATGCTCTAATTCCAGTTCCTGGGCGACTGTTCCATCATCGTTTGAATCAACCACAACTGGGGTATTCACGGCGGCATCCACGTTTGCGGGTTGCTCTACCATTTGTGGCGCCGCATCCTCAGCCGTAGCATTCTCATCCGACGAGGGAACAGCCTCACGTCGTAGCCGTTCGAGTTCGGCGACATCAAATATATTTGAGCGCAAGATATACCGAACTCGGTCTGCCAGGTTTTGCTCTGTGACGATTAAAGATGGCTCCAGCTCAGCAAAAAGACGATGCATCCTAGCCCGATACGCCAAACATCCAGTTTCTTCCCCTTTTGCCCTAAAGTACGCCCGCAGTGCGTTGTGCATTCATTTCGGTTGTGACCAACGCATGCGACGTGCTCCACCAGCGGCGGGTGCCGATTGCTGAGTCCGAGAAGACCCAGCCGACACCAAGCCTTCTGGTGGGGATGATGGATGCGGAGGGCTGGTAGATGATCGTGCAGCTCCTCGCGCTCGGCTGGCGGCCCGCATGCTGCCGCGTCCAGCGCCAGCTCCAGACGCGCCCCGGCGACCCCCAGGCAGCGGCCCTTTGCGCGCTATCTTTTTATCCATCATCCATTATTTGGGCGTCCATTAACGGGAGACGCCCAGGCCCGGCACCGTTTCGTGTGTAGCCATATGCACAAACGGGCCTTTGCACCCTAAATTTTTGCCGCGGCACGGCGCTCACACCTCTCGCAAGGCGCTGACTGACTGCGCTGACGTAGCAGTTTTGTCACTTATTATTATTATTATTATGTGGGGTATCTATATAGTTTTCTCATCTGGTTGGGTTCTATAAATATATAATTATAAATGAAAATGAAAAGATAAATATACATAAATATCAATAGCATAAAATAAATATAAAAGTACATAAATAAGTAAAAGCCCAACCAGATGGAGGCCCTCGGCAGGGGAGACCAAACGGCCGAGGGTTAGGGGGAAAAGGGAAAGAAACCGGCGGACGATGCGGGCGGTATCGAGGAGCACCGCCTTCTGCATTTGAACCTGGAGCGGTCCGCCACGTAGTCCCAGCCGCCTCAGATGACCCGAGAGGCTGACTGGGATTAGCCCGTTTGCAGAGACGACTACAGGAATAATTTCGGTCGGCAGACCACCCCACATGTCGGTCACCTCGTGAGCCAGGTCCAGATATTTTGTTTGCTTGTCTGTTTCGGCTTTCACGAGGTTCTCGTCATACGGAATGGTAATGTCGACCAAAAATATCCTTGACTGTGCCCGGTCCATCAGCACAATATCAGGCTTATTCGCAAGAATAGTCCTGTCTGTGATGATGGCCCGGTCCCAATAGAGCCTGGCGCGATCATTTTCGAGCACGGCTTCCGGCAAGTACTTGTAATACGGCAATTTCCGATCCACGAGACCGTATTTCAGAGCGAGCTCCTGGTGTAGAATTCTGGCTACTAGGTTGTGCCTGTGCAAGTACTCAGAGTTAGAAAGCGCCGAACAACCGGAGATAACATGCCTAAGTGACTCACCGGGATGGCGACAAGCTCGACAGATGTCGACGGTGCCACCCTTTAGGATGTATCTCCGATAGTTGTTGGTCTTAATAACCTGATCCTGTATTGCACAGACAAAACCCTCGGTTTCCCCCGAAGAGATCACCAAAGCGTAGCCAGTGGAAGGAGGCTACTGTGTCTACGAAAAGCTCATGTAGAGCCTTGTAGAACCTCCCGTGGAGCTCCTTCTCCTTCCATACGGTCTCCCGGTCGGAAATGCTCTGCACTGCCGGGTCTTGCCATTGCTCGTTGGCTAAGGATAGAGGGGTAAGTCCTTTATCACAAGAAATGACGTCCTTATAGAATGGATCATCCGATCTCGCAAGGAAGTTATCACGGAGGCTGCACACTTCGCGATTATGCATGGTGAGCGCGCTCATAAAACCACGCCCACCATGCTTTCGCGGCAAGTACAGCCTCATTACCGACGATCTCGGATGGTGCATCCTATGGGACGTCATGGTAGTGCGGACTTTTCTATCCAGGGCGTTAAGTTCGGTCTGAGTCCACCTGAGTATGCCAAAGGTATACATGAGGACAGGCATGACCCAACCGTTATATGCGTGTGCCTTATTCACACCGGACAAAAGGCTGTTAAGCACTTTGGTCAAGCGTGCATAAAACACGTCGCAAACTGACTGTTTCATACCAGCCTCATCGATACCGATGTTCTGTGACATACCCAGGTATCGGTATGTTTCAGCCTCGGAAAGGGTTCTTAAGTTGACGGGCATAGATAAGTCTATGCCCTCAGAGTTAGCAACCCTTCCCCTTTCAACATGGAGGACCGCACACTTATCCGTCCCCAGCTCCATTCTAATAGAATTGCTAAATTCACACGTGATGTTTAGCAATTCCATAAGATGGGAGCGACTGGAGGCGAATAATTTGAGGTCATCCATATAGAAAAGGTGGGTCACTTTTGTACCTCCTTTCCGAAGCTGAAATCCCCTCCCGGAGCCCTCCAGTAAAGTACTGAGAGGGTTCAAAGAGAGGCAGAACCAGATTGGACTCAGACAGTCGCCCTGGAATATACCCCTTCTTATCCTTATGCGGCTTTCCGCAGCCGTCATCCGCTCGCCTAGATGACAGAGGATCGTACTCCACTGCCCCATACACTGCTCGAGGAAGTCTCGAACTGTACAGTCAATCTTGTACAGCTCGAGGACCCTCTTTAGCCATGTATGGGGCACCGAGTCAAATGCCTTTCTGTAATCTATCCAGGCGGCGGAGAAGTTCCGACGGTTGCGTTTCACCACTTTGCCAATGACCGCGTCAATGAGGAGTGGTTCCTTGGTTCCACGACCGCCGCCCCGACATCCATTTTGAGCGCGCGACATCACCTGATTTAAGTCCAGGTGACGAGCGATTCTCGCGCTCAAAATGGATGTTAGTGTCTTGTATATGGTCGGTAGACACGTGATGGGGCGGTATTTGCTCGGGTCTGTGGCACCCTGATCTTTAGGAACCAAATGAGTGATCCCAGTAGTGAAGAGGCTTGGGAGCGACTTCTGGTTGAGAGCCTCTTGAAACTGTCGGGCGAGCACAGAGTGACACACCATGAACCCCTTCAGCCAGTAGTGATGCAGCCCGTCAAGCCCCGGACTTTTCCAGTTCGGGGCCCTACGGACCGCCTCAGCTACGTCATCCGGCGTTATGGTGACGGGGTCCATGGGCGTAATACTCGCACACTGACTCGCCACAACTTCCGTCCAAGGGCCCTCGTTGTGGTTTACGGGCTCTGACCACAGGCTGCGCCAGAATGCGACCGTGTCGGCCTGATTTGGTGCAGGGCCCGTTCCACTTACTATTGGTCGCTCCAATGATTTATAGAGCCTCTTCTGATCACTCTGGAAGAGACGATTCTGGTTGAACCGTGTCGACCTCTCGGTATATCGCCGAATCCGCTTTCCCCAAGCAGCTATTCTTTGCTTCAGGTCGTCTATGCGCTCCGTCAGTTTTTGCATTATATCCGGCTGGGACAAACTAACATTTGTCCCAGCAAACGCCATCCTGACGGTGCGCACAATCCTTGGCCTGGTATTGCCTGACCTGAAGCATATCAGTCTGCCGATGAGGGCCCTAGCCTTTGCGATACGTTCTTCAATTCTTATTCTCCAGGCTGGGATAGCACTACTTTGTCCAGTAGCGCGTCCAGCCGTGGAAAGTTTGGCGCCTATAATACGGCAGACTGCCAGTGCGGCGCCAAAAAGAATTGAGTCCGTCTCGCAAAGGTCCCGGCTGGCTTCCAAATAGGTAACCAGCATTGGGTTCAGAGCCCTCACGACAGCCCGATTCCGCTTGCTTAGGGCTAAGCGGGGAAGTCGCGGTCGATTTTCGAGAGTCGTACTGCGCGTTTCCACAATCGCCTCTTCCAATGTACTCCTCATTTGCTCTAGTTCCAGTTCCTGGGCGACTGTTCCATCATAGTTTGAATCAACCACAACTGGCGTATTCACGGCGGCATCCACATTTGCCGTTTGCTCAGCAAGTTGTGGCGCCGCATCCTCAGCCGCAGCATTTTCACCCGATGAGGGAACAGCCTCACGTCGTAGCCGTTCGAGTTCGGTGACATCAAATGTATTTGAGCGCAAGATATACCGAACTCGGTCTGCCAGGTTTTGCTCGGTGACGGTTACAGATGGCTCCAGCTCAGCAAAAAGTCGATGCATCCTTGCCCGATACGCAAAACCTCCAGTTTCTCCCCCTTTCGCCCTAAAATACGCCCGCAATGCGTTGCTGTTCATCTGGGTTGTCCAACGCATGCGGCGTACTCCACGTACAGTGGCGGGTGCCGATTGCTGAGCCCGCGAAGACCCTGCCGACACCAAGCCAGCTGGTGGGGATGATGGATGCGAGGATCTGCTGGGTGGTCGTGCAGCACCTCGCGCTCGGCTGGCGGTTCGCATGCTGTCGCGTCCAGCGCCAGCTCCAGACGCGCCCTGGCGACCTCCAGGCAGCGGCCCTTTGCGCGTTCCATTTGATTCCATCATCCATTTTAGGGCGTCATTTAGCGGGAGACGCCCAGACCCGGCGCCGTTTCATGGTTAGGCCATGTGCACAAGCGGGCCTTGGCACCTTCAATTTTTGCCGAGGCACGGCACTAACACCTCTTGGCAAGGTGCTGACTGACTGCGCCGACGTAGCGGTTTTGTCACATAACCGTTATATCAGCGGGCGATGGGGTCGTCACTTCCCTACGCCTTATTATTATTATTATTATTATATTTTGTACATATCTATATTCTCCCTATTAAAGAGGTAACTTAAAACCTAATCACACGGGCCGAAGCCAAGCGTGAGCAGGCGCTAGGTGATGGTGTAAGCAGAGGTGACGGATGACGTGATGAGGAATTTGCGTGTGAGTCGGCAGGTGTTGAGAATGACAGCTTTCTGCAGTGTGTGAAGTGTGTGTTGGGGTACTTGCAAAATATCTAGACTGCGTTGTAGGCTTTTAGGTATAACTCCGGTAGATGAGATAACTATTGGGACTATATGGATGGTTTCTGCTCTCCATTGACGCTTGAGTTCTATAGCTAAATCTTGATATTTTGTAAGTTTTTCAGCTATGGTGGATTGAATGTTATGAGTGTTTGGTATGGCAATGTCAATAAGGTAAGTAGTTTTGTTATTTTTGTCATACACTGTGATATCGGGCCTATTGAAGTGAATAGTTTTATCCGTGATGATGGTCCTGTCCCAGTAAATTCTATGATTATTGTTTTCTAATATGGTGTCCGGCTTATATTTGTAATATGGTGTCATTTTTTGTATGAATTTAAATTTAAGGGCTAGATATTGGTGTATTATGGAGGCGACCTGGTCATGCCGATGCTTATAGTCGGTTTGTGCAAGGGCTCTACAGGCGGATGTTATGTGTTGTATGTTTTCGGGGCTAGAGTGGCAATGTCTGCAAGTATCAGTGGGGAGGTTAGGTGCACGTATTATGTGTCTCTGAAAGTTTCGGGTATCGATGACCTGGTCCTGGATCGCTAACATGAATGCCTCCGTCTCTGGGAAGAGTTCACCGCGCCTCAGCCAGGCGTTCGACGCTTTTTTGTCGACATGTGACAGCTGCAGGTCGTGGTAGTGCCTTCCGTGTAGGGACTTCTGTTGCCATGAGGCCATCTTCTCTTTTACGTCAGTGATCCGTTCACTACGTTGTGTGTTTCGGTCCGCGAGGTTAAGTGGTGTGAGGCGTTTGTCGGCTAAGGTTACTATTTTGTGGAGAAGTGAGTGTTCTGAGCGTTGATGGAAATATTGTCGAAGGGATTTGATTTGTTTATTGTGCAAGTTGAGGACATCTATTATACCTCGTCCTCCCTCGGTTCTTGAAAGAGTCATCCTTTGCACGCATGATCTAGGATGGTGCTTGCGGTGAGTCGTTAGAGTGGTATTTATAATACGTTGCAGATTGATAAGGTCACCTTGAGTCCAGTTTATTATACCAAACGAGTATGTCAGTATGGGGATTGCGTAACTATTGATTGCTTTTGACATGTTGCGGGAGTTGAGTTGAGACCGGAATATACTATTGAGCCGATGTTTAAATTTCTTTTTTGAGACCTTCTTTTGTTTCCTTTTGATGGATCTGTCGCGCTTGTTGGAAACCTAAGTATTTATATGAGGCGTGGGGTTCTAGAGGTTCAATCGTGTCTCCTGTTACTAGGCTATAGCTGTTGGGGTTAATTTTTCCATTTTTAACCGAGAAAGTTTTGCACTTGTCAATCCCAAACTCCATATGAATGTCGTTTGAGAAAGATTGGGTGATGTCTGCGAGGCGATGCAATGACTGTGTAGTGTTACTGTATAGTTTTATGTCATCCATGTACATCAGGTGTGTTAGAGTGGTGTGTTTGTGTGGTGTGATGATAGAGTAACCATAATTGGTTTTGTTCAGCATTTGCGAGAGAGGGTTTAATGCGAGACAGAACCATACAGGGCTAAGCGCATCCCCTTGGAAGATTCCTCGACGTATTGGAATTTCTGACGTTTCTATACAAGACGTTCCTATGGTTTTTAATGTAGTTGTCCAGTGCTGCATTGATTTTTCAAGAAAATGTATAAGTTGTGGGTGAATTTTATAGTGTTGAAGTACATGTAGGAGCCAGCTGTGCGGTACGGAGTCGAATGCTTTTCGGTAGTCAATATACATTGTATTGATGTTCTTCCTTTTAGAAATAGCATGTTTCATTGCTACGGAGTCTATTATGAGTTGCTCTTTACACCCCTGACTACTTTTTCGACATCCTTTTTGTTCTTCAGTAAGGATGTTGTTTGTGGCTATATGTTGGTGTAAGAGTTCGGCTATACATGCTGTAAGTAGTTTATAAATGGTTTGGAGACATGTGATAGGTCTGAATTTGGCAGGATTTTGATGATCTGCGTCTTTCGGAATCATGTATGTGAGGCCTTGTGTAATGTATCGGGGCATTATGTCTGGCTTTTGTATAAAATCATTGATATGGTTATGAAGTAGAGGGTGAATTGTTGAAAGTTTCTTATACCAGTAGTTATGTATACGGTCACTTCCGGGTGCTTTCCAGCTATGGGTTTTTTTTTAATATATGCACAAATACTTCCAGAGGTATTTGTTCAAATGCCATTGGTGTGATAGAATCAGTTACTTCGGAATCTGATTTCAGCCATTCTGCCTCAGTGTTGTGGTGAACCGGTATAGACCAAATACCAGACCAGAAGCTATGTAATTCATTGGCGGGTGGTAATGGTGCATCTTGCCTATTTCTATTTGTGTCGTGTTGTGTGTCTGAAGTCAGGCTCCTATAAAATTGTTTTTCATTATTGATAAACTGGCTATTTTGTGACTTCCTAAGTATGCAATTAAGGTACCTTTTTAATCTGCTGGATGCCGCATTCAGTTTTTGTTTAAGTGTGTCAAGGAATTGTTCATCGCTTAAATTGGGTTCTTCGTGCTGGGAATGTATTCGGTATTTATTTTTTATTGCTTCCACTGAAGTGGTGAGTCTATTGCTTCTATTGCCTTTGGTATATTCTGTTAGCCTTCCAATGTCTCTTCTGAAATCCAATATCTTTCTTTTTAACCTTTTCTGCCAAGCAGGTTCTTTATTTCGACTTTGGGTAGGTATTATGTTTATGTCTCTGATTTTGGTTCCGTTAATTATAGCTACTGTGTACGCCACGCAGTAAATTATGGTCTGAGTGGTCTCAAAATCCTGCTCTCTCGATATGTGATTTGGTAATATTTTAGTGTTTATAAAATCTACAATTTGTGCCAGCCTTTTAGAAGTTTTTTGTTTTGGTATATAAGGTCGTTTAGTTGGGTTGGTATTCCGAAATTTGTCTATTGCTATCCTAAACAGTTCCTGGATTTTTTTCGCGTCATTATTTTCTATTGCTTGTTTTTTTTGAGGTTCAGAGGCTTGAGTGGATATCACTGATTCGTCAGGTTGAGGTTGTAAGGTTAAGTTAAGTGTATGCACGGGGGTGTTACTTTCTATAACGAATGGATGAACTTCGACTTCTTGTGAGTTTTCTGTTTCGGGTGATGAATGTGATGAATTATTTTCCATATTGTCTCGTCGGGAATTCCGGTTGCTTGCTATATTTTCGCGTATCTTTTGAAGTCTTTGGTCATTAATCATTTTATTGTTCAATATTACTCTGAGCTGATCTGATATTCGTTGTTCACTTACACCTGTTAACTCAGGGTGTTCTTCTATGACTGCTTGATGGAGGGGTCTACGGTAAGCTGATTTATTTTCTCCAAGTTTGGTGATTTTATAGTAATTTCTCACAATAGATTCGTTTTGGTCAGCTGTCCATCGTCTTCTTTGTGTCAATCCTTGCTGATTGCTAAAATGTGGTTGCATGTGTGATTGCGTGATCGAGTCGGTTTGTATATGATTGGTATTACTGTGTGTTTGTTGTAAGTATACTGCAACTTCGTTCCTTATATGATCTAATGTTTTTTGGGGAAGTAATTTATTTCTAAATATAGCTCTGCATTGATCTCCCAACCTTTGTCTCGATGCCTGCATCTGCGGATATTTATTAGTGAATTCTTTATGTAGATGATCGAGGTATATTTTGTTAGTATTTAATTTAGTGGCTATAAGGTACGTGCGCCAGATGAATTTATTCATTTCTTCTGTCCATCTTTTGCGCGCGCGATTTCTGTCTGGGGCGGGTGCAGGTTCAGTGGCTACAGCCTCCTGCACAACGTCCTCAGACATGGGTGATACAGAGTCTGATCTCCTTGAAGTCTGGTATGAACGTGGAGATGAAATAGATGACTCAAATGAATGAAAAGGTGAGGGTGTCGATGAGATTATATCGCTTAGCATGTCGGAGTCCGTATGTGTCGCTTGGGTCGTTCGACGGGTTGCTTTCGTCACTCGGGGATTCTTCGCACCCCTAGGCCCAGTCTCAGGGTGGCTTCCGTCATAACCAGTGCTGCTACTGGGTCCGCCGAGCACTTGGGGCCGTTTACTTCTTGTTAATACCATAATTATTCTCCATTTGGGTTTGGGTTATTATTATTATTATTATTTAGTGTTAACAAATTATATTTAAATATTTTGTGTGTGTATATGATTAAGCCGTGGTAGCCCAGATGGTTAGCGCAAGCTGTAAATTTTACAGTACGTAACGCGGGTTCGATCCCCGCCGACACCAATTAAATTGTTAATTGCAATTTTAAGTGTTTATTCTATTGACACACTTACTTTTCTTTCTGTTATTTTCTTACGTGTGTATGATTTAGTGTTAACAAATTATATTTAAATATTTTGTGTGTGTATATGATTAAGCCGTGGTAGCTCAGATGGTTAGCGCAAGCTGTAAATTTTACAGTACGTAACGCGGGTTCGATCCCCGCCGACACCAATTAAATTGTTAATTGCAATTTTAAGTGTTTATTCTATTGACACACTTACTTTTCTTTATGTTATTTTCTTACGTGTGTATGATTTAGTGTTAACAAATTATATTTAAATATTGTGTGTGTATA